CCATCCAGTGGTCGTTTAGCCGCACCGTCAGCCAGATACAGTGGACCTTCTGTCCACGGCTTCAAGTTGTATTTTGGACCTTCAACCTCCTTCCACAGTTTCTCATTGAGCAGTGTGTAGGATGCCCCGGTGTCCAGGATGGCTCTTCCTGTCCATGGGCCTATGGACAGGGGTAACACCAGCTGGTGTGGTATTAACTGAAAGGAAGGGGATGTCGGCGGGGGGGCGTAGGCAGTGACTCTTGAGGTTTCAGCTCTGGTCAAAGCACCCAGAGTAGGATGGTCGTTCCTGCGAAGTGTGTTAGGGGTGTTGGCCTGTTGTAATTTGTGGTTTCTGGAAGGGTTTACTTGATACGGTCTTGGACATGTAGCTGAAGAATGTCCCTTTTGGCTACAATCTCCAACAGAACATGGGAGGGGTCTTGGCTGGAGACTCTGGCTGTGGTTGATGATCTGGCTTGGGTAACTGTCTGGGTGTCTGTTTCTTTCTCTGTTCATATTGCTGTTGGCATTCTCTGTCCTTCTCGAACTGCTGTCCCAGGCGAACCAGTCCATCGACAGTGGTGACTCTTTCTCTGAGTTGACTGGCTAGTAGTGGGTTGATGTTCTTCAAGATCAACTTAATGACCTCTTCCTCCTCAATGCCAGGTTTCCACCTTCTGCACAGGGAGTGGTAACCGTATGCAAAGTCACGGATATTCTCATTCTCCCTTTGCACTCGATTCCTGACTCTGTCTGCCAGCTCATCTGTGTAGTCCTCAGACCAGAAATGCAGAGGAAAACTTGGCCTCAAAGTCAGCCCAGGAGGTAGTGGTGAGACGTGCCACATCCCACCAGTCTCGAGCTGTCCCATGCAACACATTCCTCAATGTGGCAAGGAGTTATTCGTCAGCCAGGGGGATTGAGGGCAAGAAAGTCATGACATCTTCCAGATACATTAGCGGATCAGGACTGTCATCCTTTTTCCCAAAGGTGTGGAAATTGCAATTTAATGGGCATCGCTCCACATGACGTCTACTCAAATCACCATGAACAAAAGAGCTAGGAGGGATTGAGGAAGTAGAGGGTGAGGGAGTTATGGGACCATGAAAATGAACACCAGGATGCATGGTGGATTGCATCCTGCAAGGGGTGGCTGCAGCATGGCCTTGTCTTGGCTGTTCTGAGGTGCCCGCTTGGCCCTCAGTGGTCTGAACAGAAGTGGACACAGAGAAGCTCTGTGCAAGGAGTTGTGCCTAATGGAGGCCATGTCAACAGACACATCATCCAACATTTTAACACAATTAGAGAGCGCTGTCTGCAAGTGGTCTACAGTGTTAACCAGGGGAGAAAATACAGAATTGACGTCCTTGAGGACCTCAGTGTGATGATGTTGCAGGCGCCACTGGAGAGTGGCAGTGAGTTGGCTTTGTTGGTAGTCAAACTGCCTGTCCATGGCACCAGTAATTTCCTGTCTTCCACTCTCACTGAGCTCTGTCAGAGTGTGAGTTAGAGTACTCAGTGAGTTTCTGAATTCCATGGCACTCTGTTGTTGCTCTACACTCAGACATTTGAATTTATGATGGATTAGAGTTTGGAGATGTTGTTGAGTCTTACGAATATCAAGGATGTCACCTTGAAGTTGTAAGACTACAACCTCTGGAGATAAACCAGACAATGGAGTAAGATTGGGCGTCAGAGGGAGGGCTAGCTCAGTACCTTCACACAGATCCAGGTCAATAAGTGAGTTACTAGTTAGACCTGTGGCCTGTGGTCCAGACTGAGCATTTAGATTCCCAGGGCTCTGGCCCACATCAACTCCATTATTTCCATTCACATTATGATTTGTATTGTTGGCTCGGTAGTCAGAATGGCCCTGTGTATTCCCATTGACAGGTAGGATATGGATGAGCACATTTTCTTGTAGTGAATCCATTATTTTAATTCCACTCAAAAGATTTGCTTTGGTTAGTTCTCAATGTTGAGGTCCCATCTGGGGTGCCATTTTTTATGTAACGGTTTTGACTTGAGGTATTTATAGGGGTGCCAGGTAGGTTGTGCCTACCAGAGAAAGCATGGGTTTCTCCTTTTAGTTCGGGAGGGAATGAGTCCCATCTGGTCCGTCAAGTCACACCAATACAAAGGACTTAGGTAAAAGTCAAGATGGAAATATACTTTTCATAAACCCCTTAAAACCTTGGAAAGAACTTCAAACAAGTGTATTATTTTGCTTGGTTGTATTCACAACATAAATGATCACACCCACCCACACACAACAATATAACAAAATCAATGCACTTATGTTCATTTAGAATGTCCTGTACCTCGGGCATAAAAAGAGTCCAGCCCGGTAAATAAGTTCCGTGGCTCAAGTGCCCTTAGTCCCGCAACGCTTGTCCGTAGCATAAACCCAGTATATTCATACACTCAAAATAACACTTATTTTGTAACACAACTATAAAGCGTATCAAAGACTACCCAAAGAATAATACGTCCTCACAACTACATAAATCACAGTATACATCACCCCAAACAAATGAAATACCGTATACAAAAAGTTGTAGTCAGTCGGTCAGTCAGACAATCCGTCAACAGCCCTCCAGCGGAGGAAAGGCCACGAAAACCAACGGAGAGTTGTAATCCACAGACGCACAGAGTGGATCCAATCCTGGGTAAGCTCGCTTTAAGGCCACAAAACACACTGTAAGGCCACAAAACAAACGTAATGGCGAAGCTTCATGAACTGAAGGTAGTACACATCCTCATTCAGGTCTCAATCACCACTTTCTTTTTGCGCAGCTGATGCTGGCTATTTAATGGGGAATTAAAGGGGAAGCGCCCTATTAGAAGGAGAAGCCTTGAGACGGTTCAGAAATATTCAGGGCCGTCACAACATGCACGCACACACGCGCACGCACACACACACACATACACACACACACACTAAAACTCACACACACACAAACACAGTATCTCATAAGGGCTGAATAATACTAGTTAATAAGAGTTCATATCTCATTGTCCCCAGGGGTCCCAAGATGAAAATGATGTTGTTTGATATCACTGACATGAATATTTTGAGAACGAGGGATATATAAAGCAAATGGTTATATTTCAGTCTTCTGGCAATATATAATATGGCTCTCCCAAATAAACTCCATGAATTTGGGCTATTCCAAATTACTTTGCACGTTGTCATTGAATATGCAGCTCATGTCTCTCAGGACAGGTGTATTTCTCATGGTACATTCGGTCGTAATCACTGAGAGAAGAATCCGTTTTTCAAAACTCTGGTTCCCTCAGCCAGGGCATTGAAAATGGGTCGTGGATGGGTATTCCAGCATGACAATGACCCAAAACACACGGCCAAGGCAACAAAGGAGTGGCTCAAGAAGAAGCACATTAAGGTCCTAGAGAGGCCTAGCCAGTCTCCAGACCTTAATCCCATAGAAAATCTGTGGAGGGAGCTGAAGGTTCGAGTTGCCAAACGTCAGCCTCAAAACCTTAATGACTTGGAGAAGATCTGCAAAGAGGAGTGGGACAAAATCCCTTCTGAGATGTGTGCAAACCTGGTGGCCAACTACAAGAAACGTCTGACCTCTGTGATTGCCAACAAGGGTTTTGCCACCAAGTACTAAGTCATGTTTTGCAGAGGGGTCAAATACTTATTTCCCTCATTAAAATGCAAATCAATGTATAACATTTTTCACATGCGTTTTTCTGGATTGTTTTGTTGTTATTCTGTCTCTCACTGTTCAAATAAACCTACCATTAAAATTATAGACTGATCATGTATTTGTCAGTGGGCAAATGTACAAAATCAGCAGGGGATCAAATACTTTTTTCCCTCACTGTATATACATAATATGACATTTGAAATGTCTTTATTCTTTTGGAACTTCTGAGGGAAATGTTTACTGTTCATTTGTATTGTTTATTTCACTTTTGTTTACAATCTACTTCACTTGCTTTGGCAATGTTAACATACGTTTCCCATGCCAATAAAGCCCTTAAATTGAATTTTATTGAAATTGAATTGAAATTGAATTGAGTGAGAGAGAGATCGATATGTGCACTGAGAGGAATGCGATGAAGGGGATCATCTCTCTATTTCTCTCTTTCACTCTCCCTTGTTTTGCAACCCCATCACGCAGCCAGCCATGGTCTTTAATTCTCACACAGAGAGTCCCGGCTCAGTGCATCTATTAGTGGCCTCTCTCTCTCTCTCTCTCTCTCTCTCTCTCTCTCTCTCTCAATTTCCATTTCAATTTAAGGGCTTTATTGGAATGGGAAACGTATGTTAACATTGCCAAAGCAAGTGAAGTATATAGTAAACAAAAGTGAAATAAACAATAAATATTAACAGTAAACATTACACTCAGACGTTCCAAAAGAATAAAGACATTTCAAATGTCATATTATGTCTATATACAGAGTTCTCTCTCTCTCTCTCTCTCAAATCAATTTACATTTACATTTACATTCGGTCTCTCTGTCTCTCTCAATTTACATTTACATTTACATACGGTCTCTCTCTCTCTCTCTCCTCTCCTATCTCCTACTGTACTGTATGTCATAATGGATGACAGCTGTGTGTCTCTACAGTCTGTTTGACATCATAGAGTTGGGACTAGTAGAGTGTGGCTGTTACTGGGGGTGAAAGGCATGGGGGGAGAATGGAGTGTAGTGTGAGTGTGGTTCCTCTGCAGGCCATCCCTGGCTCCTCAGTCCTAACACCAGCTCACTAGGCCTGCTGCTGTACAGTCTACCACTACATTAAAGTGGAGACATACAGTACATGAAGTCCTATGAAAAGATCTGTATGTGTGTAGCAGAGACTGACTGGCTGTATAGAACCAGGCGTTCACGGTGTACTGAAATAGAAAGAGGTGTTCATAGTCAATCTGTGAATGCTCTCTCAATCATAGATTCTATGATAAGCGATATATTCCTGGGGTCACATAGTTAGTCATGTGATGTGAAAATATGTTCTCTCTCTCTCTCTCTCTCTCTCCCTCCAAGGTGCCTGTCCTCCAGCCCACAGATCTGATGGTGGAGGCGACAGCGCGGCGTGTTTTCAGTAATGCCCACACCTACAACATCAACTCCATCTCCGTGAACTCTGACCTCCAGACCTACATCTCCACCGATGACCTCAGGGTCAACCTGTGGAACCTGGAGATCACCGACCAGAGCTTCAGTATCCTTTCACCTGTCTACAACATTTATAGGTTACCGACTGCTGCTTCAAATAACCTTTGACCTCTAGGAACAAGTGCTATGCCTGTATTCTGTTCCTCTGTCTTGTTATAAACAATCCAAAACATTTAGCTGAACTGTTATTTCTCCCTGAGCGTGCCCCTCCCCAGACATTGTGGACATTAAGCCGGGTAACATGGAGGATCTGACGGAGGTGATTACAGCAGCAGAGTTCCATCCTCAACAGTGCAACACCTTGGCCTACAGCAGCAGTAGAGGGTCAGTACGACTCTGTGACACGAGGAAACAGGCGCTCTGCGACACACACTGCAAGTGTGAGTACTGGAACAGGCATACACACAGACACATGTATTCAAGCGCACACACACGCACACACACTCCACTCAGACATGGTGCATTGTGTGACAATATCTGTGGAGGGGGAAAGAGATTGAGAAAAGAAAGGAGAGAGGGAGGGAAGTCGTCTCTGATTAAACCAACCTTTATCCTGCTACAGTCAATTGCATGGCTAGGATTGATAACCACAAACATCAATAAGGTTGTCTGTCTGTCTGTCTATCTGTCTTCTCTCCCAGTTAAAACAATGAAAGGCTCAACGTCTCAAAGCCCCTGTCTGTCTCTGGGAGCATCAGATGATATGCATATCCCTCTGAAGGAAATGAATAATGAATACATTGACATTTAAGGCTGAGGATCGATGGTGTAAGATGCAATAGCAATACCTAATTATGGAAATACGATGACTGCGTCCCAAATGGCACCCTATTCCCTTTATAGTGCACTACTTTTGACCAGGGCCCATAGGGAATAGGGTGTAATTTGGGATGCAGCCCAGGTTGTTCAATAACAGTAGTTATTTCCTGAGCTGTAGTGACATGTTCACCGGTCCGTACACACACACACATCCTGTCGAATAGCACATGACTAGGAATATTCAAACACATTTGGGACTCTGCCTTGGGGATATTGTTATTTAGGTATAGCATTACTAGCTTTGTCTTCAAATGTGAGCAAAGAGCAATGAGATACCCTGGGGTTATCTGATAGCAGAACATACGCTTGCCATCTTTCAGAGGTTACACACACACACACGCACACACACACACACACACAGACAGACAGACAGACAGACAGACAGACACACACAGAAAGACACACACACACAGAAAGACACACACACACACAGAAAGACACACACACACACAGAAAGACACACACACATACAGAAAGACACACACAGACAGACACACACAGACAGACACACACACACCTCCCTGTGATGAATACCACCTGCTAATCCAGCAGGACTCCAGTAGGCCCAGATCCGTGACATTGATTTGTTTTATTTTCTCCCTCCCTCATCCCTTTATCCCCTCGTTTCTCATCCCTCGTTAGACTCCCCACTGACACACAGAGCAGTTCTCCCTGTGTCAACATAGCAAGGAGGCAGGAACACACACACAGAGAATTCATTAAATTCATTAAAGCTCCCTCTGGTTTGATAACAGACTCATTGATGCATAGCTTATTATTACTGTGGTGTAACTGTTCATCTCCCTCCCTCCCTCCCTCCCTCCCTCCCTCCCTCCCTCCCTCCCTCCCTCCCTCCCTCCCTCCCTCCCTCCCTCCCTCCCTCCCTCCCTCCCTCCCTCCCTCCCTCCCTCCCTCCCTCCCTCCCTCAGTCTTTGAGGAGCCAGAGGACCCCTCCACTCGTTCATTTTTCTCAGAGATCATCTCTTCCATCTCAGACATCAAGTTTAGTCACAGCGGTCGCTTCCTGATGACACGGGACTACCTGACAGTCAAGGTGTGGGACCTCAACATGGAGACCAGACCGGTCCAGACATACCAGGTAGTGTACGCTGTGTGTGGATGCGTGCGTGTGATTGACTTTTGATTACTTCACACCCTAGACATGCTTAGTGATGACATGATCATCCCACGCCTGACTGATGAAACGATCACCCTGTATCTGACAGGATCTGACCTTCCCAGTATGGCTGTCTGTGACCAGATAGCGTAGACCTGGGGGTCACCTGTCGCTGTGGGTCACTGTGGGGGGTTTATTAACAGTCAGTATCAGTCTTACAAATGAATCCAGGCTTACAAATGAATCCAGGGTTCAATAAGTCTTCCCTGGGGTAATTGGTGGGGAGGACAGGGGGTATGATTGGGTTGAGTGATGGGGCTGTAGTCTGTCATTTGATTTGATTTATCTAAACTTTATTAAACAATATAGGTCAATTGAGGACACCTTGCTCTCCAGAAGGGTAGTTTCATCGTTCATATCAGTGATATTGTACCAATAGTGATCTTGTTGTTTGTCCCCAGGTCCATGACTACCTGAGGGGGAAGCTGTCTTCTCTGTACGAGAACGACTGCATCTTTGACAAGTTTGAGTGTGTCTGGAATGGGTCAGACAGGTGAGTGTGTGTGTGTCTGTGTGTGTCTGTGTATATGTGTGTGTGTGTCTGTGTCTGTGTTTGTGTCTCTGTGTGTGCGTCAATCAATCTCCTCTTGTCTCTCTCCAGTGTCATAATGACGGGGTCGTATAATAATTTCTTCCGGATGTTTGATCGGAACACCAAGAAAGATGTGACCCTGGAGGCTTCCAGAGAGAACAGCAAACCCCGGGCCATCCTCAAACCACGCAAGGTAATACTGTAACACTTTACAGTTACATATGAAATATGTGCCAAAACGATTTTATTTTGGGTTGATGGTATGTAAAAAAAAATATATATATTCTATACAGTATATTTTGTAAGTCTATATGGTTATTGGATAGAGAGAGGTGAAAGATAGAGGAGTGTGCTGAAATAGCAGTGGCTGGACTGCAACCCATGCAGCAGCACAGACCACTGATGGTATGACAGACTGCTAGACCACTGATGGTATGACAGACCGCTAGACCACTGATGGTATGACAGACTGCTAGACCACTGATGGTATGACAGACTGCTAGACCACTGATGGTATGACAGACTGCTAGACCACTGATGGTATGACAGACCGCTAGACCACTGTTGGTATGACCAGGGACTGCAGAGCCACTGATGGTATGACAGACCACTAGACCAGTGATGGTATGTTTTAATGGATTTGTGTAAGATTGGCAAATGTCCAATATTAGGATTATTTTTGGGAAACTGAAGACGAGGAAATATTAACAATCTGTGTGTGCAAGGTTGAAGCTCATGAAAGGAGTATCCCCTATGGTGCTACTCGCATCAAAAGCTGCTAGACATTGGATGCCCTCAGCCCATGGTCTGACAGACACTACACGAGACCTCCTAAGACCGAGAAATGTTTAAGAGAAGAGAAGAAAAGGAGAAGAGAATAAAGGAGCAGCTCCTCACCTCTCCCCTCCTCTCTCTCCTCTCCTCTCCTCTCCTCTCCTCTCCTCTCCTCCCTCTCCTCTCCTCTCCTCTCCTCTCCTCTCCTCTCCTCTCCTCTCCTCTCCTCTCCCTCCTCTCCTCTCCTCTCCTCCTCCCTCTCCTCTCCTCTCCTCTCCTCTCCTCTCCTCTCCTCTCCTCTCCTCTCCTCTCCTCTCTAGGTGTGTGTTGGAGGGAAGCGTCGTAAAGACGAGGTGACTGTTGACAGTCTGGACTTCAGTAAGAAAATCCTCCACTCCACCTGGCACCCACACGAAAACATCATCGCCGTGGCAGCCAGTAACAACCTCTACATCTTCCAGGACAAGGTCACCTAGGGGTCAGCTAACCTCTGACCACTAACCCCTGACCCCACGCAGGGGGAGAGACGGAGGGAGAGACTGAGAGGATGGAGGGGAGTTAGAGAGACAGAAGGGGAGAGGGATGGAGGAAAAGAGAGAGAAAGAGAGATGGATGTTTGTTTACCTCTTCGCTAAGCGTTCCTCCTCCTCCTCTCTTGCCTGCCTTGTTGATGTGAGTCTGATATGGCTGGAAGGAATGCTGGAATTCTCAGAATGCACTTGGGAATTCCCACTCCAAATGTGAGAGTGTTCAGCCTGGATAAAGTTAGGAAGAAGACAGATGCTTCTTCTAGGCCTGAGTGGAATGAAACTAGCCACCTGCTCTGGCCTGCACAAGCCTCTCCATGGCCTTCAGTTAACTGTTTTAGTTATTTGTTTGGATGACACGTGAAGGAGCGCTGAAGCGTTGTTATGCAACCAGACAAAGACTGGACTGGACTGGAGTCACAGATCATCTGAGATTAAATGAGACGTAGCAGAACACTCTGTCTGACCAGGCGCCATTTTGTTTCCGTTACAAGATAAGACAGGAGACTATGGAGAGAACACAGACCTTTATGGAGGTTAATGAATTATCTCCTGTCCTCTCCGGCCACTAGGCCACATCTGTCCCGTCCCGTCCGGAGGTTTAGACAGGAGGTCACTGGACATGGACATGACTGTTACACAACTAACTGAACCTTCAATATAGCACTGAAATGGGTCTGACTCACAGTATCCTCACTTACATACTACCAACTGTAAACCGGTATGCTAAGTGTGTATATTGGGACCAACACAGTCTGAGAGTGTGGATGTTTCGGCCTGTTTCTGACATGAGACTGTCTTTAATAATGTGAATGATGTGATGAGGCCAGATCCATGTTTTTATTTTATTTCATGATGTTGTTTTTTCTGTGAGTCTTTTTCTTGTCAATGATTCAGTTTTTGAAGCTGTGGTGCCTTTCGTTTTGGTATGTGGGGTTGATGGGGAGGATGGGGAGGATGGGGCAGGTGGGAGGAGGGTGAGGAGGATGGGAGGGTGAGGAAGGATGGGAGGATGGGGGGGGGGATGGGGAGTGGTGAGGGTGAGGGGATGAGGATGGAGGAGGGTGAGGAGGGTGAGGAGGGTGAGGAGGGTGGGGAGGATGGGGAGGATGAGGAGGGTGGGGAGGATGGGGAGGTGGGAGGGTGGGGAGGGTGGGAGGATGAGGAGTGGGGAGGGGGAGGGGGTGAGGATGGTGGGGGGGAGGGTGGGGAGGGGGGGGGAGGGGGGGGTGAGGGGGTGGAGGGGGGGAGGGTGGGGAGATGAGGAGGGTGGGGAGTGGTGAGGGTGGGGAGGATGGGAGGGTGAGGAGGGGGAGGGTGGGGAGGGAGTGAGGAGGGTGGGGAGGATGGGGAGGGTGGGGAGGAGGGCGTGGGGAGGATGGGGGGGAAGGGGGGGAAGGGTGGGGAGGAGGATGGGGAGGGTGGGGAGGGGGAGGAGGATGGGGTGGGTGGGGAGGATGAGGAGGATGAGGAGGATGGGGATGGTGGGGAGGGTGGGGAGGATGGGAAGGGGGAGGAGGGGGGAGGAGGAGGATGGGGAGGGTGGGGAGGATGAGGAGGATGGGGAGGGTGGGGAGGGTGAGGAGGATGAGGAGGGAGGTGAAAACAATGCAAGTGTACAAAATACTATTGAGAGTAAATATCAGTTAATCGTAGGAGAGCTGTAGATCCGCCCACCGGTGATGTGGAGCACAGCATGCTGGGTGATCTCTAACTGAGGAGAAGGAAGTAACTAGAGAAAGTACAGTAGCCGTGATAAGTTCCAGCCATCTCCCGTGATTACCTTTAGTTAGCATTCTTTGTTTTAGCCAAGGCCAGTGTACGTCCTTCAGAAATGTGACTTCATATTTCTTACAATTCATGTGTTGTGGACGCACTCCTTTGTTATGCTAATTAGTGTTTTAACCACGAGCTAGCAACTGTAAGCTTGCTAACCCTGTTTGTCATCTCATTTCAGACATTTAGCATTTCAGTTTCTAGTCTTATATGCCCTGTGGTTATATGGATGTATTCTGTATAAATGATGTGGGTATTTTGTTAGCAATGAGCCTTGTGGATGCATTATACATTCAAGTTCATGCTGTTGTGTGAGGATGATGGTGCTGCTCAGTAGTGCTGTGTAGTTGCACTCCTCTGATCATTCATTAGTGAAGTCACAGCCATGTTGTTAGGTTGTATTGCCCTGTGCAGCAGATGACCTATTGTAGCCATATTATGTATAGCTTATGTAATTGGAGGTTGTATTAAGCCTATACCTGCCGTTTACTATTGTATTTCATTTCCCCTTTTTCAGAACCACACACAAACTCTTGGTTAACACAATTGTCAAGCCATACACTGTACTGTACTGTGCTGTTACTGCTCTGTGAATCAGCGTCATTAAACAACTTCAACTGGAATCCTACCGGTCTGTCATCTGTGCCCTTACAAGCACCTGGGAGAGAACACATAGTGCTATGTAAAACCTAACCCTACAGAATATACAGTCCACCAAGTCCTCAACTACAGCAAGTGTGAATGTTTTTACCCTAAAAATATATAGGGGAAAAAAGCTAAGCAAATGTACATTTCCATTTAGAAGTACTTGAATTCATTGAGTTTACTTTCTAACCTCATTTTAGCAACCGACTGCACATTTATAATTTATGGGATGTTTATGCATATCCCTGTTTTGACCACTCCGCAGCAGTGTCGTCATGCAGTGTATTAATATAACCAGCTAAAAGACAAGACACAACAGTCCTATTATAACTCAGTAAAAGACAGCAGGTTCTGTGTCTCATAACCAGCACTCAGAGTTTTCCCTAGTCAGGTCACACAGTGAGGAACACCTCTGGGCCCTACTCTGAATATATCCATAGAAGTTCTCCATGGCTGTGTCTTCTACCACATTGTTGCTGTGTCTGCCCATGTTTATATTCTGTTCTTTGGGGTGAGTAACCAGGGGTAGGAAGAAGTTTCCCCCAGATGTTGATCTTAGGTCAGTTTTCTGTTTTCCCCTCTATGGTAAGTTTATAATTGGGGAAGGGGAAGCTGATCCTAGATCTGTGCCTAGCTGCAGTGTCCAACCAGAGAGGATGGTATCATGACTTCAAGCCTAACAACCAGTGATGAGGGCTCAATGATATCAGGGACTTTTATATATACATGCATCCCAAATGGAAACCTATTCCCTTTATAGTGCACTATTTCTGAACAGGGCCCATAGGGCTCAGGTCAAAAGTAGTGCCCTTTATATGGAATAGGGTGTAATTTGGGAGGCTCCCACCCTATGAATCCTTTACAAAGTTGTGAAACTTTGAAACTGTTTTTATAGCGCAAAATGGAATGAAACGCAATTAATTTACCATGCAGTCTTCTTGCTTACTGGAATTATTTTGAATAAAAACGTTTGCAAGTTTAAGCATGCAGTTTCTGTCCTTTTTGTAGTTATAATAGATATTTCGGGAAATGTATAGGTGCATTTTTCATTGTATTCACTGTTCATCGAGCTGTTCACCGTAGTAGTGTCATTGCCACTTTTATAGTCGTTGTTTGAAAAATGAAGAGCGCCCTCGTCTGGAGAAAGAACAAACCAAGATCTTATGCAAGGCATACAAATGTCTTGCTGGTCTTCCTCATGTTCTGTTGTCCTATCCCATAATGTAAATAATAATCATCATGTAAAACATACATTTAGAGTATTTTTTTTGTTGCAAAAGGGCACATAGAACAAATTTAGGGGACACAAATCTTTATTTCCAGGCTATTCCCAAAATATAAATTATTATTCTGAGTCGACCAATTAAGGTATTTTGAATCAATAATAACTTGTTGACACATTTTAAGGAAATATTATGTAAGCCATAGCCTTAGACAGAGTAAAGGCCTACCCATGGATATTACCTATTGGGTTTATTATTCACACTGGCCCTTGGCCTTCTAATATTCCGAGGAAAAACAGAGATGATTAATTCATAGCGTCAAACTCGCCTGCTGTCTCTCTAAATTAGAAAGTCGTGTTTAATTTGCTGCACTGGGGACTAAATGCCTACATCGTACAGCGCAGCGCCTGTTCCGGACGGTTGGAACAGGGACAGCGTTCTAATTGGCCCCGCGAGTCTCGCGCGGTTTAGTCAGCTGGGGCTGTCAATCAAACTGCCACCTTTATAACAGCGGATAAACCTGTCAGGAGACAGACAGGAAAGGACAGGAGTGCGACTGTCTGGGAGCAGATCGATTTTTTTAAATAAACAGATTAGGCTACAATCAGGAGTTGAGTTTTAGATCGAGATTGATCCATTCACCTGTTTGTTGACTAATCTTTTAGAATATTTTTTTTTCCTAGTCAGTCTTTTTCATTTGTCTATTTTTTCAGCAGTTTACCTTTCCATCAGTCTAGACTTATTGTATTAAGTCGGCTTTCAATATACTTTTTAAATATTTGTTTTCTCTAAGTACTTTTCTCTTTTCTCACACCACCTGTTTCTTCTGAGATGGATAAACTGCCAGGGGTGAACATAACGGCTGCTAACAGCTCGACTGTGGACCGGCTTCGTCCTTCCTTCATCGAGCATGGTGTCCTCGTGCTTGTCATCCTGGGGGTGATCTGTGTCCTGGGGCTGGCCAGTACCCTCACAGCCATGGGTATCCTGATCTCCAACGCCCACCGTGGGAAACTCTCCCTCATCAACGCTCTCATCCTCAACCTGATGTTTGCCGACGGCCTTGTACTGGCGTTCGCTCTCCCGTTCCGCGCTGCCGCCTTCTCCAAACCCAGCTGGACGCTTGGCTGGACGGTGTGCAAGACCTGTGATTGGTTCCTGCAGAGCTGCATGGCTGCAAAGAGTTTTACCGTAGCGGTGATGGCTAAGGCTTGTTACCGTTACGTCTCTAACCCGACTAAACAGGTCAGCATCAGTCTACGTTCCATCCTATTGGTGATGTGGTTCCTCTGGCTGTCTGCTTGCTCTGCACCCATCCCTACCTGGCTGTTCTCCTCACTGCAGAGAGAGACCCGGGGGCTGGTGTGTGTGCAGGTGGTTCCCCCTGAGGCGCAGGACTTCATGTCGGTCTACGTTAAGGCGTACCCCCTGGGTGTGTTCTGCGCCCCTTTGAGTTTCGCCCTGCTGTATTTCTGGCGGGTGTATGGGCGGTGCCAGCGGCGCTGTAGTAAGACCCAAAACCTCCGAACGCAGATCAGATCCAGGAAGCTCATGCTGATGCTGTTCAGTCTGACGGTAGCCATGGCAATGCTGTGGCTGCCGCAGTGGGTGGTCTGGGTGTGGGAGCGGCACGCCGAGGAGCGAGAGGCACAGGGACCGGGAGAGGGAGGACCCTTCGTCGTCTTCTCTCCCCCTCTCCTCCTTTCCCTCTCCGCCCTGCTCCTCACCTTCTGTCTCTCCCTGGTGAACCCCCTCATTGTCCTCTCTCTGTCGGAGGAGTTCAGAGAGGGGTACAGGGGTCTGTGGAGGCGCCTTACTCTTCGTAAACACACCCCGTCCAACCCCAAACCTGGCCCCCACACACCCACCGCCCCCCAGTCCCCCTGCCCACGACCAGAGACCTCAGGCCAGCCGCGGGGAGAAGGAGGCCTAGGCTCCATCCCTAGCCAGGGGACTAGAGTTGATCCCCAACCCCAGACGGAGCAGGGCGGGGTGGGGGAGGCAGAGGATGAGGCAGAGGGAGAGAGCCCCCGGGATGGGATCGTGCTGCTGGACGTGGAGCAGTTTTGGCATGAGAGAGAGACAGGCTCCATGACAGAGGAGAATGATCCCATACCCTGGGAGCACCAGGAGGGAGCACCAGCTGAGGGGAGGAAGTGAAGAGAGGAAGTGAGGGAACGAAGAGAAGGAAGCGAAGAGAGGGGAGGACACACACACAGACAAACAGGACTGGTTCTAAGACGCTACTCAATACTCAGCTACATCTGTCCTTGACTACCCCTTGAACTTTGTGTATCTGTCTATCTTTTGTGTTTTTTGTGTGTTAACAAATTGTTACCCATCACCACCAGTGATTTTTAAGCAAAATGTTGTTTGAGAGTATTTGGACACTACCTCAACGATGCCTGAAATACTATTTAGCATCGAGACCAGCCAGTAAACCTCCCCTCTCTCTTCCTTTCAGTTACCGCCACAGCGTTCAAACAACCTTCAAACAACACACACACTGACAGATTATATCAGCAGCTGCAACGGACTGACATTTGATTATACCTCACTGGACTGAAGATCGGTCAACACAGGAAACAACACAGGAGACAACACAGGAGACAACACAGGAGAAAACACAGGAAACAACACAGGAGACAACACAGGAATCAACACAGGAGACAACAGAGACAATACAGGAGACAACACAGGAGACAATACAGGAGACAACACAGGAATCAACACAGGAGACAACACAGGAGACAACACAGGAATCAACACAGGAGACAACAGAGACAATACAGGATACAACACAGGAGACAACACAGGAATCAACACAGGAGACAACACAGGAGACAACAGAGACAATACAGGAGACAACACAGGAGACAACACAAGAATCAACACAGGAGACAACACAGGAGACAACACAGGAATCAACACAAGAGACAATACAGGAGACAATACAGGAGACAACACAGGAGACAACACAGGAGTCAATGGTTGGTATTCATTCAACTGTGTCTATGATATTGTTTGATGGTTATTGTTATGGTGAATATTGTACAAAAAGTGTTATATTTCACAGTATATATATTGGAGGTATTCTATGTATCCTTGAAGTAATGACCAACAGTAATGTCCGTTGTAAATACCAACAAGAGTTACAAAATATAACTGTACATAAGTCTGAAATGATTTGATACAACAACAACAAGGCAGAATAAATAGCCTTTAGAAACCAGTAAGGGCATTTCTGTATGCTACTGAACAGTATTTGATGTTACTGTTACATGTATCAGTGTTTTATTCTCCTATTTGAGGTGGTTTTGTATTGATATGTGCTTGTAAAAAAGGTTGTTTATAATAAAGTGATATATAATATTGATCGTGTGCTCTTTTTGATTTCGTCGTCCAGGGTAGGGGAGGGAATGGCCGGCAGGGATGTAGCTCAGTTGATAGAGCATGGTGTTTGCAACGCCAGGGTTGTGGGTTCGATTCCCACAGGGGGTATGAAAAATAAAATAATGTATGCACTGTAAGTCGCTCTGGATAAGAGCGTCTGCTAAATGACTAAAATGTAAATGTAAATGATTGAAATTTAAATAATTCAATAGGATTTAATTTGATTTAATTTAAATGTTATGTCCTATTAAATTAGTTGGACCAAGGACGTAAGAGTCTGACCATCAAAGACACCAGGACATCAGTGCAGGCAGTACGCTACAGAATTACTATAACAGTAACCACTGGTCATGGGATGATGTTGCTAGGATATGGTCAGGGTATGATGTTGCTAGGGTATGATGTTGCTAGGATATGGTCAGTGGATGATGTTGCTAGGATATGGAGGAATGTAAATGGGGTGAGGGGGGGTCAGCAACCCTGGGACAGAACACAGCTGTCTACAGAACTAATGACCAAACACACACTCCGGATGGACCCCTGTCTGTTGGTATTTAGGGGCCATTATAATCTGTGTTAAGCAGTGTTTGGGAAGCTACTCTGAAATCATAGTTTACCAAGCTACCAATTACTTTATACTGGAAGAAGTTTAGCTACACTAAAGCTACCCTTAAGAAACATATAGTTGACTTAACTAAAGTTACTTTGAAAAGGTAGTTCACCACAACTAAACTATTTGAAAAGCTATCATATCTGAAATGTCATAGACAATAACTTGCAAGAACAGATCACGGCAGGTAGCTTAGTGGTTAAGAGCGTTGTGCCAGTAACCGAAAGGTCGCTGGTTCTAATCCCCGAGCAGACTAGGTGAAAAATCTGTCAATGTGCCCTTGAGCAAGGCATTTAACCCTAATTGCTCTGGATAAGAGCGTCTACTAATTTTTTAAAAAATATATCACTTTGGGGTCATGCATTAACAGAAAGTGTAATTTAGCCTATTAGACACAAAAACAATGTTTCAAGTGAGAATTAGGCAGGTCTGATTTTGAGATTTTGAGAACTACATAATGATAATGTATGTTTGTAACGCATAAACATATAAAGTATGATATATACTGTAATGTACTATTATGATGATGACCATTCTGAATTTACTTCACAGTAAATTTCCCCAAAAAATCTTGTCAAGATCAGAGATGTAACAAATGCATCCCCCATACAGAGCACATGTATCCTAAATGAAGTTGATGGGGGGGGGAGTTCTGTAATACCATAATTCTATATGCAATTTACATAGCAGACGCTTTTATCAACAGTGACAACAGTGAGCCCACACATTTTCATATGTGAACCCAGTGGGAATCGAACCCTCAACTCCATGCTCTTACAAACTGAACCACATACAGGACTGATACCAGGGCCGGCTCCAAGCATAAGTGACACAAGTGGACACAAAACACATATATACAGTACCAGTCAAAAGTTTGGACACATCTACTCATTCCAGGGTTTTTCTTTATTTTTACTATTTTCTACATTGTAGAATAATAGTGAAGACATCAAAACTATGAAATAACACATATGGAATCATGTAGTAACCAAAAAGTGTTAAACAAATCAAAATATATTTTATATTTGAGATTCATCAAAGTAGCCACCCTTCGCCTTGATGACAGCGTTGCACACTCTTGGCATTCTCTCAACCAGCTTCATGAGGTAGTCACCTGGAACGCATTTCAATTAACAGATGTGCCTTGTTAAAGTTAATTTGTGGATTTTATTTCCCTTTCCTTCTTAATGCATTTGAGCCAATACATTGTGTTGTGACAAGGTAGGGGTGGTATACAGAAGATAGTCCATATTGTGGCAAGAACAGCTCAAATAAGCAAAGAGAAACAACAGTCCATCAATACTTTAAGATATGAAGGTCAGTCAATCCGGAAAATAAGTTTCTTCAAGTGCAGTCGCAAAACTTGTCAAGCGATATGATGAAACTGGCTCTCATGAGGACCGCCACAGGAAAGGAAGATCCAGAGTTACCTCTGCTGCAGAGGATAAGTTCATTAGAGTCACCAGCCTCAGAAATTGCAGCCCAAATAAATTATTCACGGAGTTCAAGTAACAGACACATCACAAAATCAACTGTTCAGAGGAGACTATGTGAATCAGGCCTTCATGGTCGAATTGCTGCAAAGAAACCACTGCTAAAGGACACCAATAAGAAGAAGAGACTTGCTTGGGCCAAGAAACACGAGCAATGGATATTAGACCGGTGAAAATCTGTCCTTTGGTCTGATGAGTCCAAATTTGAGATTTTTGGTTCCAACCGCCGTGTCTTTGTGAGACGCAGAGTAGGTGAACGGATGATCTCTGCATGTGTTGTTCCCACCGTGAAGCATGGAGGAGGAGGTGTTATGGTGTGGGGGTGCTTTGGTGGTGAAACTGTTGGTGATTTATTTAGAATTCAAGACACACTTAACCAGCATGGCTACCACAGCATTCTGCAGGGCAATTTTTAAACATGTACTATATCGTATGTTTTGCTATTGGATTAACGGGTTGTTAAAATAACTAAATTGAGAATATATCATTATGTTGTGTTTAGGTGGCGGTCTGTGTATATTTGTAAACAACAGCTGGTGCACAAAATCAAATACTAAGGAAGTCTCGAGGTTTTGCTCGCCTGAGGTAGAGTATCTTATGATAAGCTGTAGACCACACTATTTACCAAGAGAGTTTTCATCTATATTTTTCATAGCTGTCTATTTACCACCACAAACCAATGCTGGCATTAAGATTACACTGAATTAGCTGTATAAGGCCATAAGTCAACAGGAAAACGCTCATCCAGAGGCAGCGCTCCGGATTACCAGGACGTGTACTCCGAGTATGTGCTGACCAACTGGCAAGTGTCTTCACTGACATTTTCAACATGTCCCTGACTGAGTCTGTAATACCAACATGTTTCAAGCAGACCACCATAGTCCCCGTGCCCAAGGACTCTAAGATAACCTGCCTAAATGACTACCGACCCGTAGCACTGACGTCTGTAGCCATGAAGTGCTTTGAAAGGCTGGTCATGGCTCACATCAACACCATTATCCCAGAAACCCTAGACCCACTCCAATTTGCATACCGCTCCAACAGATTCACAGATGATGCAATCTCTATTGCACTCCACACTGCCCTTTCCCACCTGGACAAGAGGAACACCTACGTGAGAATGCTATTCATTGACTACAGCTCAGCATTCAACACCATAGTGCCCTCAAAGCTCATCACTAAGCTAAGGATCCTGGGACTAAACACCTCCCTCTGCAACTGGATCCTGGACTTCCTGACGGGCTGCCCCCAGGTGGTAAGGGTAGGTAACAACACATCTGCCACACTGATCCTCAACACGGGGGCCCCTCAGGGGTGCGTGCTCAGTCCCCTCCTGTACTCCCTGTTCACCCATGACTGCATGGCCAGGCACGACTCCAACACCATCATTAAGTTTGCCGACGACACAACAGTGGTAGGCCTGATCACCGACAACGATGAGACAGCCTATAGGGAGGAGGTCAGACACCTGGCCGTGTGGTGCCAGGATAACAACCTCTCCCTCAACATGACCAAGACAAAGGAGATGATTGTGGACTACAGGAAAAAAAAGAGGACTGAGCACGCCCCCATTCTCATCGACGGGGCTGTAGTGGAACAGGTTGAGAGCTTCAAGTTCCTTGGTGTCCACATCACCAACGAACTATCATGGTCCAAACACACCA